CCTTTCATTTGTGGAAACAGGAAGTGGCTGCATCCATTGCACTGTTATGTGGTGGTAATCTTGCCAGAGCCTTTTGGGGGGACCTTCGATCAGCAGCTCTTCTATTGAACGGAGTGAAACCAGAAGACATACCCAGAAAAGTGGAGATAAACGTGGAAGGTTGCTTCTACTCAGTTTGGCTGGCCTCCTCCATAGAAGCTACACTGTGGAGGGAGGCTCACAAGGAAGGGGATGAGAAGGTAGAAGAAGATGCCCTATGTGGAACAAGGAGATTGGTAATCTCAAAGGTTGATCAGTCTTTCATCGATTTGGGTAAGCAAAAACTGGAGACTTTAAAGAGAAGGGGCAGATGGGTGGTTAACTACGTGGAGTGCAAGCTATCAGAAGGGAGTGCAGTAAATCTTATGCTCAGATGGTTAAAGGCGGCAAGAAGGAGGTTTTAAATTCAAGTTATGAAGGAAGATTAAAGGTTTCAGACCAGTTCAAACCAAAAAAGGGTGAACTTGAGCCAGGTGTCCCAGGCACTGCGTGTGAAGTGATAAAGCCTCACGTTCCAATGCAAGTAAGCACGCGTGGGCCTCAAAAAATTGTTGGGCCTGTTAAAGAAACCAAGGGTGGGTCGTGTCCTCAACATAAGTCGGCCTAAATCAAGCCTCACTTAAAGAGGGCACGTGACTCACTTAAGTTACACGTGTTTGGGAAGGGGGAGCCTCCAATAGATGGTAAAAATCATCTATTTCTTCTCCTTTTAGTTCCTCCTCTCATATCTGCGCGCCAGTTGCAGATTCGGCCACTTCATCACTACAATGGATTCCGACCAAGAAGGTAAACCATTTATCCCTGGATAGGTGGAACCCTAGAAGCATAAAACGGCAGGATCTAGACCTTGTTGAAGACAGTGATTACTTAGATGAAGAAGATAGTTCAGCGAAGGTCTCCAGCTCGTTATAGTGGAGACCCTCGAAGAAGTTTCCGCATAAGGTACAGGATCGTCGTAACCCCAGGAGTGTGAAGAGCAGTGAGGTCTTCGACTCTAATTCGGAAAGATTGACAGACGATGAAGAACTTGCTGATTCCGTTTCAGATTTTGAAGAAACCGCTAGCTTGGGAAGTATCGACCTCCCAAAGCCAAGAGATATATTGGAAGAGGGTAGACTAAACACTGAACTATTATTCCTAGAGGAGGAGACAGATCCGCAAGATTCTGGCACTATCAAAACGCAAAGAAGAGTGAGCCTTAGCAGCGGAGAACAGATCTTTCCCAAACTGGGTATGCTATACAAAAGACAGGTGGAGTTGGGAACACTGAAAGAGGTAAGGCAGAGTGCATCCCAGCCAATAAACGAGTCCATCCCATATGTGCAGCCTAGTCAGGACATCAGGCCAGAGAGACAGGAATCAAACTTGGAGCCTTACCTAAGGATTCACGCAGAGGGAAAGAGAAGTGAAGATTCTTTGACTGTAGAGAGTGAGGAAGTATTGGTTGTACCTAGTCCGCTTCCACAGCTGAGTCTGGAAAAGGGGAAGGGCCTAGTCCTGACTCCAAGAATTGATACCCAGCAGTCGGTCCACATGCAACCATCTATGCTAATTCCAGGTAAGCCTGTCCATTTGGTTTTAGATACTAACTTGGGTTCTCTGCCT